AATTTACAAACAAATATTAAACATCATATCCTTATATCTTTAAATCATCCATTTACTAAACTAATTTTTATTCATAAACATAACTATTTATTACATCCAGGGCCACAATTACTATTGGCAACAGTCAGACAAAAATATTGGCCTATTGGGGGGAAAATTCTTGCAAAAAAAATTGTCAAGAATTGTATTCAGTATTTTAGACACAAACCAGTTGCATCCATTGCCCTTATGGGTAGCTTACCTAATAATAGAATTTCACCATCTTTTCCATTTTAAGTCACTGGAATTAGTGATGTGCAAAAGTGCTACTTTCAAATAACAGTTATAACTGCTACTGCTATTTGAAAATAACAGTTATGAAAAAGCTGCTTAAAAGTAGCAGTTTAAGAATAAAGGGAAGGGATGAAAGCGATGCTGAAATTTTTACGTTGAACGAAAGCGCTACAATCTTTCTAATAGGAGACCTACTGTTTTTATAAGCAATCTGCTGTTCTTCTGTTTCTTTTCGGAAATCTATTGTGTAAATTTGTTATCATCAAAAACAATGTGATAGTACTTTTAATACGTTTGTATTAAAATTTATTACATACTTCCCTGTATTGTTTAAAAATTACATGTAAAGTATGAGTCCCGGAAATTCGTAATTGTAATTTGATACCTCATAACAATTAACATCATTCGGTATCAGCACGTATTGGTAACCATAAATCATTTCCCCACTCTTAATTTTATGTAAATATGACCTAAATTCTGATGTGAGCCTTTAGTCCCATAACATTTGAATTATTTCAAATATTTGGATATTTGGAATAATAACTTCAACCTAATTATTTAAGGTCTTTAACTTTTGATAACCATTAACACAACACACAAAATTTCTGGCCAGCTTATTGCTTATTGTATCAACTCAGTGTCTCAAACTTTTAAGTCATATAACACAGTAAGTCATTGATACTACTTGAAAGTTTGAAACCTTCCTATGCGTACCTATGTCGTCAATAGAGAGTTATTGCAAACACAGATTTGATTCTTTTGTTTTGATTAATGACATTGAATATTTTTGTATATATCAAAATAATCTATAAACTATGTTTTGTATTTGTTAGGTACCTATTATAAGATCCTAGTAAATAATAAAATAATAAAAAGTAAAATAAATAATAAAAATTAAAATAAGATCATTGAAAAGTGTAAAAGGTTGAATTTAATTATTTTTTCATTTAAAGAATAGGTATAGGTACCATAACCCATAATACACGTCGTTACAATATGTCAAATATATTAAGATATTCTATGTCTGATCTATGATTATTAAACACTAAAATTATTTAGAAATTACTTGTATTTAAATTTATTTTTACAAACTTTTGTAATATCTCAAGCTTCAAGAAAAATGTTCTTTTTAAAATTGATTTGGGTCAAAACATTAATTTGGGATAAATTCAAAATAAAAATAACTAATCTAAATAAATGGACTGGTTCCTTAAAAACCGACAATATTTTGCTAAACCATCGAAATAAGGGCATATAGATATTGTAAAAACAGATGAAGAAACTGTAACATCTGTTTTGCATTTACTTAATAGCTGTACGAGACTCTGACCGAGAGATGATCTTTTCACAAATAAAACCTTTTTAAGAACAAAGGACTAAAGGACACAAAGCGATAATAGATCAGACAGGTTGAATGGTTGAAATGTTTTTTGTGAGATTCGAAAACGAAAACTATAACGGGCACCATTCGTGTTCTGTTCTTGTGTCTTTTTGTATCAAATCGCACTATTCACTGTAATACTGTAAACGTTCTCATCTCACTGTATAGTGGAATTAGATATACCTACGTTAAATTTTATTTCAAAATCTACTGTTTTTGAAAGGAAATCTCCTGTTTTGTTGTTTTTGGCTTGTGCCGTGGGAATCCCAGTTGTGTATTAATATAATTAATTCATATACGTAAGTTTATTTCATTATTTTAATTAAGTATATAGCAGCTTTTAGTTATGTTATTTCTAGAAATACTAAACATTATTTTGTATTCAAAAGCAAAGAATTGATATTGATATATTTTATAAAATTGATATATTATATATTATATTTATGATATATGATGCAGTCGCTACTTAATAAAACTAGCTTGTGTCAGCGATCAATATTTATTAGAAAAAAATTACATACTGAAATTAAATTACTATACGTCTTCTTAAATAGCAAAAGCTATTTTTGGGTTCCAAATATTAGACTAGGCGGGATCTGTAAAAATTCAGACCATAATGGACATTTTCCATAGGAAGCTATTTTTTTGCTGGAATGCCTTCAGGATGGGCTCAATATCGATAATAACGATATGCGCCAGTCGTAAACCCTGTGTTAAATTTTTTATCTAACAATATCTGAAAACAATTGAAAATTTCTCATTTTTTGCTACTATTTTCGTTTATAATTCGGAAAATATTGATCCTAGTGAAACAATTATAGGAAGTTAAAAGTTTCGTTATTCAATTTTACACAATATATCGTTAGCTAGAAATCGAAAATTTAATGTTTATTGTTGAAAAAATATCAATAATTGGAAAAAAAGTACAAACAAATTAAGTTAATTCTTTAAATGTTTTCGACTTTTTAAACTTGACTTACAAGCTCCATATTCCGCCTAGAAAAACTTTTTAATATGTTTAAAACGTGTGCTAAATTTTTTAAGATTGGTCGGATAGGTTTTGCATAATAATTTTGCAATCCAGCCTACTGAAAAAAAAAATCGCAAATTTTCAAATTTATAGTAGGCCCTAAATAAGGCCCTCGGATATTTGCATTTTTTTACATATTTTTTTTACATATAAAGGAAGGCTCAAACTTCCAAACGCTTTTTATAAAATTCAAATCGGTTCACTAGGAGAGCCTAGAAATTTTTTTAAAGTTTTAAAACATTTTTTAGGCTTATAAACAAATTGAATAACTTTACGAGCTTTAAACATATCATTTTCGAATCAAAATATATTCTTAAATCAAATAATGTCATTATTATGATAAAACTGCAGAAATTAATTATTATTTTAAAAAGTTTGATTTTTACAAAAAAAAAATTCGTTCGCCTTTTTTTAACAATTCAAATTATTACTGTTATTATATATTGTTACTTTTAGTAAACAAATATGTATTTATAATTTGGTAATAAATAACTTGTTAAAATAAAAGCGAACGAATTTTTTTTTGGAAAAATCAAACTTTTTAAAATAATTAATTTCTGCAGTTTTATCATAATAATGACATTATTTAATTTGAGAATAGATTTTGATTCGAAAATGATATGTTTAAAGCTCGTAAAGTTATTCAATTTGTTTATAAATCTAAAAAATGTTTAAAATTTAAAAAAAATTTCTAGGCTCTCCTAGTGAACCGATTTGAATTTTACAAAAAGCATTTGAAAGTTTGAGCCTTCCTTTATACGTAAAAAACTTTGCAACTATCTGAGGGCCTTATTTAGGGCCTACTATAAATTTGAAAATTTGCGATTTTTTTCCAGTAGGCTGGATTGCACAATTATTATGCAAAGCCTATCCGACCGATCTTAACAAAATTTAGCACACGTTTTAAACATATTAAAAAGTTTTTCTAGGCGGAATATGGAGCTTGTAAGTCAAAAACATTTAAAGGATTAACTTCATTTTTTTGTACTTTTTTTCCAATTATTGCTATTTTTTAACAATAAACATTAAATTTTCAATTTCTAGCTAACGAAATATTGTGTAAATTGAATTACGTAACTTTTAACTTCTTATAATTTTTTGTCTAGGATCAATATTTTGCGAATTATAAACGAAAATAGGAGCAAAAAAATTAGAAATTTTCAATTGTTTTCAGATTTTGTTAAATAAAAAATTTAGCACAGGGTTTGCGACTGGCGCATATCGTGATTATCGATATTGGGCACATCCTGAAGGGATTAAAGCAAAAAATGGCTTCCTATGGAAAATGTCTAATCCAAAACAGATCCCGTCTAGACTATATACCATACAAACAACAATAAATATTTAATTCTTTTATGCATGATTTTGATGTCACAGCTAAAATGATGCAGATAAGATGAAGTATTAAAATTACAAAAATAACCAATTTGAAATTTGCGAAGTAGATGTTGCATTAAATTAATATTGCAGTTATTTATGTGTTTCATTTCACATTTCAAAGTATTTATTAGGCTAATAACAAAATTAATTGAGAATAGGTGCCGAACTACGATTTGTGAAAGAAATTTAATTATTACTAACCATAGAAGTGGATGTAACCAAAGAGACATATCCAAAATGGTAAATAAATGTTCGTCGACAGTTCGACATATCATTAAACATTACCGAAATAAAATAAAGTTGAAAATAATTTAAGGTTTTTAATG